TTGCTGCACAGACTGACGTTGACGAGCTTTTCCCAGAGGAGCAACGGGGTCGAACGTTAAAGGTGCGGATGCCACACACGTGGCATTCGGAGAAAGTGGTTCAAGATTCCACACAAGTGTTTGCGGTGAAGATTCCGCTGAGCACCCGTTCACCCCCTCAACAAGTGCTGCCAGGGAATCGTCTCTGGAAATTTCTCAGCTGCTCCAAGGCCTAATGCATGTGCCACCTCGTCACCTGCGCCCCCGGAGGGACTGTCTGCAATGTTCGACTGTGAGGGCACTCGAGAGTACCAGGCATAGGAGTGCATGCCATCCTCTATGTCACACAGCGCGCGCAGCATGCGGTCCATGATTGGCGATTTGCTTTGCCCCTTGACCAGGGCCAAGCGGGAAGCCTCGTTGTCTACCCAGTAGATGACACGACGGCCTTCAAGCCTAGCAGGCATGAGCACTTTCACGCAGTACACTGCGAACAGCTCGATCTGACAGATCAGGTGCTCACCAGACTCGTGGCGCCATGCGTGCATGAGTGCCTCAGGGACCTGACCTTGCAGAACCTGCTGGAAGCCCGTAGACGGGTCCAGGACCACTGCGCCGATGCCTGCCACGCCGTCCTCAAGGGAGCCGTCAGTGTAAACGTGAATGACGTCCTTGCGGTCGGTGACGCAAACCACTCTTGGCTTTGACACACCAAGGAACCTCAAAGCTTTGTCACAGAGCCTGGCAAACTCTGTGGAAGATGGGAAAGCCTCGGCATGAATCATCCTGTTCAAGTCGGCGCAAACATGCTTAAGCGACATGCCTGTGCAAGAGCCTGCGGCGAACCGCAGCAAGCCTACAAGAACCTGACCCATGTGTTTGGTGATGGCCCCGTCTGCTTTCACTTGGCCAAAAAGCTCGACAAGCCTCTCGAGGCGGCCGGGCTTGTTAGACAAGACCAGCGAGCCCTGATGCAGCTCGGCGACACACACACTCAGCCCGAGCACCCCAAACACCTTGTCAAAAGGCTTGCCCTTCGAGTCACCCCCTGTCCTGGCGAACTTGATCCCCAACAGGTCAAGAAGTTTCCCACATGCAAAGTCCGTCGCCTCGGCTGTGTCAGCCCTCGCCAGTAGCGGGTAGTCGTCGTAAAAGTAAGAGCAGACCAAGTTCAAAGTTCGGGTGAACAAGAAGTGGATTGCCCTGCTTATCCGATTAAAACTGAAGACGCTTGCGGCCGCACCAAAGATAAGGGAGTTGGCCACGTACCAAGTGGGCACCCGCAATGACCGAAAGGCTCCTGTCCCGCTCGCTCACACAAAACTGCTTGTAAGCTTTGGATAGATCTAGGCACTTCGCCACCCAAGGAATGCTTACGCCTAAGTCCTTTTCCATTTTTGCAATAGCCATCGCCATTGCTGCAAAATAATTGCTGTCTTGCAACCTTAGCCTGATGGAGGACCCGTAAGCATCATTGAGGTGGGCTTCGTGGCCATCATCAATGGGTCTGAGCTTCCCTCCCTGCTGAAGAAGGAAACGCCTCACAGCAAGCCACTGAGAGGTGCCCAGGTGGCGCGTTACCTCTTCTTCCGTGGCAAAAGGGCCTGACAGAAAGCCGGCCCTGCATTCCTCTTCGGTGACCTGCTTGAGGGCCGCCGCCTCGTCCGAGCTGACCTTCCTGGGGTTTGCAACAATCGCCGCCCTCAGGTCTGGAGCAGCTTCCCTCAAACACTCCGGAGTCATCTTAGCTAACCTAACTCTCGCTTCGAAGCATGCAGGCTTGGGAGAGGCACCCACCAGATGAGAGCCATCGCTAAGCAGGTCGACGACCTCCATGTCAGCGTAGCCATGCTGCTGCAGGAGGTGCCTGAAGAGCAGGATCCGCTTGCCTCGCAAAATCTCCTGCATCCAATCGGGCTTGGAGCGATGCAGGGCTTGCTCCTCTACCTCGAGCTGCTTAGCTAAAATCTCCATTTTAGTCAAGGCAATTTTCTGGCGAAGCACAAGCAAGCGGGCATCGGTCGTCAAGTTGGTCTTGATGGCCTGGAGGGTGGCGTCCTGCACAGGGTTTCCCGAATCCATGGGATGCTGCAATTTCGAGGCCTCGTTCACCCAAGCTTCAGGCGACCTATAAACCCCCACCCTAACTAAACCCGAGTCACCCCGGAAGAGGGACCCTCAGGTCTTGACTTGTCAGGGCAAAAGGTCACAGTTTGGTTGAGAGGCTCGGCCGCCTCTAACTCGGCGCTTCCCTGGAGGCCCCCCGTTTGAATCCCAATCATAGGGGCCGTAAGAACCTTCATGGCAGCAGGGTCCACTTGCGAGCGGGGAACATTAGTGACATATGCAAACTCAGAAAGCAAAGCTGCGGCCCTGCGATGCTGCAAACCTTGAACCGCGAGGGAGGCCTGCTGCATGTCCGGTCTAGCCTTAAAGACAGCACCGTGCTGCTCAGCATGAGCCCGAAAACGGGAGGCAATGGGGTCGGCAAGGCACACGGGGTAGGCAGCCTCCAAGTGAGTGGCAAAAACCCAGCTGCGGGAGGAGTAGCAAGCAGACCACGGGGCGTGGGAGTGGCCCTTGTCGTAACGGGCCGTGAGGTCAGCCATGTTGGGGCAGTTCGTCAGCAGGCGAGTGGACTTGGGCCGCGTGGCACCATACATACAGTGATCAAAGGTGACTTTAAAGCATCGATCGGCGTGCGTGCTTGTGCCAGGAAGCCTTGGCGTCTGCACGGGCAAGGGCTGCGAAGACAGCCCAGAAATGGCTCCCGGCAGGGTTCTCGAGGGTGAAGGCCACAGAGCGATCCAGGGCCCAGCACACAAGCTTGAAGCAGAAAGCATACAACGTGTTGGCCTGGCGAACGCGAGTCTCGTCCGAACTGCCCGCGGCCAACGTAGGTAAACCGAAAGGGTGAAGACCGGAGCGTAACGGCTGCGGCTCGCGGAGACCGCGAGCCTTCAACGAATCGGCCAGGGCTTTTTCGCGGGCCCGACTTGCAGTGCCACACGGCGGGGCCAGATGCAGCGCCGAAGGCGGAGTGGCGCAGAGACGATCGAGGAGCAGCTGCTGTTGGGCTGGATCACACAGGTCTAGGCGGGCAGTGGGCATGAGTGCAGCACGGGGCCGGTGGTCCACCGAAAAGGTTGAGAAGCCTTGGGCAAAGAGAGCCCGCGAAAGCACAGCAGTGCCGCTGAAAACCTCAACCGCGAAAGCCTGCCCCAGCAAAATGTTGGAAGCAGGCAACGCCGGAGCTGAGCTCGGGACTGGCAGCGGGGCCTGCGCAGGAACGTCAGGCGAAGCAGTGAAAACAAAGCCAAGCCCACTTGCAAAAAGTTTGGAATCAGGCAGCAGCCGGTCTAGCTGAGTAGTCGTATACGCCACCAAGACAACGCGCCGCCCCGACCAAGGCAAAGTCGCATGCAACGTTTGCCTAGCTGCAAAGATTGCTGGGCCGGGCCGGGTGGGGAGAGCATCGCCGAGCAGCGACTTGCCGTTTGCAACAAAAGGGGTTTGGCCGCCATCTCGTTGCACCCAGACCTCGCCGCCGGAGAAGTCAGAAAGGCCAAACACCGCATTCTGAGACGAAGGGTCGTTGGCTATCACGGTGAGCCACTGTGCAAACATTGTCAAGAATCACAATCGAAGAAAATGTAAAATGTGCTGGGCCATGACGCGCAAAATGCCGCGTGAAAACTCGAGTGCTCAACGGAAAAGAAAAGGTGTTGTTGCGCAAGCCAACTTGATTCCCATGCACCCAGGCACCTGAACCAAAGGAAAAACCCCCTGCCAAGGCACGTCCAGCAGCGGGAGCTGACTCATGCGGCAACACGTCAAAAAGCTTCAGCAAATCTCCAAGACTTGCCGAAGACTGGGACAACAGAGCCTGGGCAAAAGCTTCAGCCGGGTGCAAATCACGAGACGAAGAGGACTTTGAAGGCTCGGCTAAGACATTGGCTTGACACCGCGACGAGTTAGAAACAACAGCATGCAAATCGCGAGAGGCTGAAGGCTCGGCTAAGGCATGGGCTTTGCGCAGCGACGACTTAGAGACCACAGGGCGCGCCGCCTTCCCTGCGACATGTCACTGCGCCGGCGGGGCACGAGTGCATTCGTGACCCGGATGGTCGCCTCCGCACCCTTTCCACCAGCACAAGTGGAACCCTCGGCCGCACCGGCCCTTCTTCGAAACCTTGAATTTGCAAGTGCCGCAGTTGAAGGCAAAGCATAGCGGTTTGTCGCCAAGCTTGGTCACTGCCCCGTCCGGAATGGACACTGACCCGCCTGTGCCTTTGCCTTTTGCCTTCTTACCCTTGGTGCCTTTGCCTTTAGCCTTGGCCTGGGACTGCGGATGTGCTGGCCTCTTCAGAGGGTTCGAAGCTGAGGAGGGCATAGGCAAATGACTCAAAAACTGCAGGACCTCGTTATGCTCGCTGAGGGTCCGAAGTTGCTCATCAAGAGGCTTTTCGCGACCTGGGGCAGCAACAAGGGAGCCCAACAAATTTGAGGCAGCCAAGGTGAACATGTGGCGGTCTGCAGCCACCACCTGGGTGAGGGCCACCGAGTGGTAACCAGGGGGAGCCGGTCGCTCCAATGTTACAAACAAGCGGTGCACCCAGGCCTCCATGGCTTGGAAAGTTGCCAAACCTGCCAAGTCAAAAGCCAAACTGCGCCTGGCCCACGCTTGCCGTAGGGTCCACTCGGACCCTGTATCGCAATGCTCAAACTTATCCAGTTTGGAAGTCACCTTCAAGTTGCCATCAGAATCAATCGACAGAGTCTTATCTGCTTGAGCCGTCTGGATTTCCTGAGCACGCGACAAGTACTTCCCTGGGGGAAGATACACAAGGGTGCCTGTCTCCAGCATCTCCACGAGGCGGTCCACGACCCCATGGGCAGGCGTGGTTTCCGGAGAGAAATGCACACCTGTGAGCCTGGCCTCTTGAGCCTTTTGCCTGGCCAACCGTTCCGCAATTGGCATCTTTTTTGTCACGAAATCGTTGGCCGGCTCCACGCGGTTCTTCATATCGCTTATTGAAAGGGCCTGGGCCTCAAATAATAAACGACGAAGGCATGAAACCTGGTGATGCTCTGGCTGCGGTGTGAAAACAGTACGAATCCAATCGCGCACCTCCTCTTCCGTCACGCTGTTGGGAGAGGCTGACACTGCGAAGGCAAGAGACCTAAAGGTGCTATAACCTGCCCCCTCAAGAATGGCATGATTTGCTGAGGTTAAGCCGACTTTGAGCGTGCGCTCTTTGAAGGCCGCCTCGGAATCCAAGGTGACGCCAGCCATGTTTCCACAAGACAACGGGCCTCAGCTAAAACAATAGGCTTGCCTTAGTGTAACAGAAGTCAGGCACTCTACGCCAATAAACTAAACCTGGTGTCTTACTGCAATGGAAGTCAGGCACCCTACGCCAACAAATCAACTTGCATAAACACAATTGTCTTCTGCAGAGTAGCACAGTAGTCAGGCACCCTATGCCAACCAAAACTTGCCACATGACCAACAGCTTCTTATGCAGGGTAGCTGAGATGAAGAATGCCTGCTCAATGCATTCCCAAGTGAGCTTGATCCTCACTCGCGGCTGTTATCATGGCAATCTTGGAAGAAATTTGCACATCGGAAGGGCAGGCACCCGTTTTTCCAGATGGTCTCATGATTCCCCGCTGCGGTTGCGAGGCTTAGTCGCGGGCCCGTTTGCACTGAATGCAGCAATCTGGATCTGCTGCTGCAACGCCCGCTCGACTGAATTTCATGATGCGGATCAGGCTCCGTCCGCAAAACAAGTGGCTGCGTGCATCCTTCAGGCAATGTACAACGCCTGACACATGATGCACATACACAAGACTTAGGTCCACCGGCTGATGAAAAGGTGCTCTCGCCACAGCGGCTTGGTCCTCATCAGAGAGTGCTTCCTCGCCTCCTTCGGAAGACGAGCCACTCTCTTTCCCGCTGGCCTCATCGATTGGCCTGATTGCAGGGGGATCCTGGCTTGCCCTGGGCTCGGTTTGCCGTTCGGACGAATTCGCATCCGCTGCTGCGATGACACGATCTACCTCTGGGAGGTCTGGGTCGTACCGACCCTCACGTATGTCGACAAACATCGCCAGGATTTTCCCGTAGAGGGCGGTGTAAGCTTGCCTCGAGTAGACAAGGGGCGACTTGTCCTTTGGCTTGATGTGATGGCCGACAAGTCTCTGCTCGCCCGAGGAAAACTTGACAGTGGGACACCTTGATGTCCATGTTGTCAACGTCGCTTTGCAAGAATGCGACCCCCTCTTAATCACCTCTGCGTCCTCAAAACCGGCTCTCAACAAGAAATCTTGCAGCCAGGACGTTGCCTCGCCGGCCAACATTGGCATGCCAGTCCACCTGCCGGCAGTTTCCGACCAACCTGGCAAGGTGAACTCCCCCAGCTGCAAACCCTCGTTCTGGCGAGCTTCCAACCAGCGGGTAGCCCACTGAAGCTTTACGCCTGACCCTATTGCCGCATAAGGCAACAGCCTCGTCTTCGCCTCCTGAGTGATGGAGGTTTTCGAAGTGAGCCCCTCCGCAATCACAAAAATCTCGCCACCTGAGGCTTGAGTCACAATGGTCCTGAGGCGCTGGGCATCCGTCCACCTGGCTCCTGAATGAAGACAGAACAGCAGTTGACCCACTATGCATGCGTCTCGGTCAGCTGCCAGCTCAATCATGGTTTCCAACGCCACGACCATTCTCAAGGTGAGCTCATCTCTTTGTTTCAAGGGTGCCTTTGTCAAACACAAATCAGCAGCCAGGCCCTTAACCCTGGCGCTTATGCATGTATCCAAGCTTGCATGCCTAAGCACCGCCACCCCGTGCAGGAAGCGCACGGCCTCCAGGAACTGGCTCGCGGACGTGGGTCCTCCCACACCCTCTTGGGAAACTTTCATGTAGTCAAACAAATGCTGCTCCGTGAAGCTAAGCGGGGAGGGAATGCGACCTCCCAAGGCCCATCGAAAGAACTTCAACAAAGCTGAGGCCTCTTGCAGAGTGTGCTGGTAGCCTTCATCCGGAAGGCGGCCACGAAAGACTTCTTGACCTCGCCTTCGTCGGCGGCCCTCCCCACTAAGTTTGCCAGGCTCAGACCCAGCTGCGTCGCCTCGATGTCAAAGAGGATCATGAACTTAAGATTTTTAAGAGCATGGGATCTTGTCTCCTCCTCTGCTCTCTGGACAGGCATTCGGTTCAGGTATTTCCGAACCATGGGATTCACCTTTAAGTCACAGTCGGGCACCGATGGTTTAGGCTCCGATGACAGCGCCACGTCGGCTA